GTCGTCGTCGTAGTAGTAGTAGTTGTTGTTGTTGTTGTTGGAGCGGTAGTACCGGCATACCCGCTTCCGCTCGGACATCGCGCCAGCATTTCGATCCTCACACTGAGAAGCCAACGTCTGGTACTGGCCCTCCAAGAATCTCGCCAATCCCTGACAAACGGCCGTGTGACTGTCTTGATGGGTTTTCAGCTCAGGTCTACAATCTAGCGTTTCGAGGCCGGGCAAGCATTCATGCAGGACCGACCCCACAGGATGTGGCTGGAGCTTCTGCAAGTTCCGCAGGTCAACCTGAGGGCCCTAAACACATAACAGCCGGTGTGACACGCCGTGTTGTAGTCGCTAGGTCCACTTAGAGTACAGCCCTGCCTAAAACCCGTAACCCTGAAGCCCGAAATGGGCACAAGAGATACCAAGCCGAAAAAGTCTGCACCGGATCGGGCACGGGTCTGACAATCCATTCCAGCTCAGGCCGCACGCATTCTAATTTCACATCGGGGGCCTGAAGAAATCTCGGATGGCCCAGCATGTATGCACCATTCACCTGGCGGCGAGGTACCATGGAGAACGAGACGATGAGTCGTGAGAAGCCAGCGATGAAGTCACAGGAGGAGCACAACAGGAGGGTCGAGCAGGAGCAGCGGAGCAATTCGCAACGTTGGGTATTCAAGGTCAGAAGCCTCCTATACAGAATTGAAGAGAGCAGTGCCGAACATAGAACACAACAGACGCTAGCCACGAAGACAAATACAGATTCCGAGAGACTTTGAACAGAACCGAAATTGATGGACCCATGCTAAATTAAGACCAATCCTCACACACACACAGACCATGTTATTAGCAGAAGCACAAGGGAATGGATGGAATAGCAGCCTGAACCGGACAAAGCTCCAGTGCGACATCGTAAAATGGCTGGGCCATCAGACAGCAGGCAGAAGAAGGGACAATGCAGTATTGAAAGCGTGGCAAGAGTAAGCACAGATGGACAAAGTGATCACAGGACATCAACACACCCACGAACGCCGAAGCAGGAACGAAATAACATGAAAATCCACGTTGCGCGAAGCCAAGTCTCGGCTGGAATAGCAGCAGCGATACACAAGATGCTACAGTGTAGAATGTGCCGAAGAGGTAGGGTTATGGTTCAACCAGTGGCAAGTTGATAGGGTTCAGGCAGTCGTTTCTGCGAGTCAAATTGGATGCGCTAACAACGACTCTTGTGCAGCGAGTCAAGATGCCGAGAATTGCGTCCGGAACGCAACTCTCGCTATTTTAATGTCGCAACTGCTGTGTTGCCCTGGGTCTGCAACAGCCTGTTGATAATAATAGCCTTGAAGCAGCTTGCACTTCTGCGGCCACAAGGGAAATCAGTTGCATGCATGTGCAAGGAAACACCATCCAAGACTTGACGAGCAGGATGCCGAAGCTATGGCCGGTTACAGGCCTCTTGTACAAGTCTTGCGGTGTCCGAGAGTGAGGATCTCATCACGGTGGCTTGGCGTCGGGACGGCGGATCGGAGGCTCCACGAGCTGCCCTTACTCCCTTACTCCCGAACGCAAGCAGCCTGAGTATTTGGATTTTTTACGCGAATCCAAACTCTAAAGCCTGAACTGACCACAGAAAATGGGGACCGGGCTGCATCTCCATAGTTCAACGATTGCTCAGACAGCTCCAAGCCTGCGCAAGACGGGCTAGCAGCTTGCTTCTGCTCTGGATGTCGCCGAGCGTACATTGTGTTGTATGTGCTGTTTATATCTGCGTGTTTCTGAAGAGTTGGGTCGTTTAGGGCTCCAGGGCTTGCATTGACGTCTTCCTTCCGAAAAAAACGTTGCGTGGGCGAAGTTCCGGTCGGTTGTGGGTCGTAGTTTAGACTGAGGGGTAGTTCCAGAAGCGCCAGAAGGCAAGAACATACGATGGTTCCAAACTATGCCGGCGGGATAAATCAGAGTAGCGTCGTAGTGGTAGTGGCGGTGGTGGGAGTGGTAGTAGTAGTTGCAAGAGTGGTGGTAGTAGTGGTAGTAGCAGTCGTAGTAGTAGTACTACTACTACTACTACTACTACTACTACTACTACAAGCGTCTCGGCTGCAAGGGCTGGGCAAGCCAAAACAGAGTAGGTCCGTGTTCCCGATGCAGAGATGAATTTCCGGATACCTGCTCTTGTTACACTGGTGGCATCAATATGCCGGACATTTGGTCAGATGACTTATGGGTGCCCAACAAGAACAAAATCCCCAGGCCTGCAACCATACAGTATGCCAAAGAAGTTTTCCTATGTCCTAGACGAAGGCATCACTGGATCTCGCAGATGGGAGAAACAATGCTGCAAAGAGCAGGAGGCTTCCTACAAGATCCCCAGTTCTTTAATGAATTTGACATTTCCTGGGGTGCTTGGGGAATCTCACATCCCTGCGTGGTCTTGCAACAGGCCCGGCGATCACCATACCCACCGCTTGAATTACACATGTGGCACTGGACACGGCTTCACTACCCAGATCTGCTTCCATACATGTGGCCCCATGGCAGGCCAACTGCAGTGGACTTGCATAGCATGGACTAATAGTTTCCTGAGATCATCTTGGGCATCATGTCGGGCCCCACAGCGGTCGAATGCGGTTTTCATGGTGACTCATCGGGCAGAGCTGTGTCCGGGCAAATGGTGGCGAAGATGGAAGGCGAAGCCGAGCCTTAGCAGGCCCCGGCGCAGACGCAAACGTACTCAGCGCAAAGCTTGTACCTTGTACTCATATGTGCACAGGGTGGTGACGAGGCTCCTCTCTCCACCGCCAATGTGGACTGTGGATGGGTGCCCCATGCACAGGGTTATATCAGATGCACTGTCCAGTTCTCTGACAATGCTGCGAATGTTGTGGCTCATGCATGCTGCTGCTGATGTTCTATATAAGGCTCAAGCTGCACAGCAATCAGGGTGCGAGGCTGCAGCCGGCATGCCGCTGAATACTTGGAGAGACAGTTCCTCGGAAGGACATGCGGACATAGACTCTGCGGAGTTTGCGGCTGCAACGGAGCCAGCGCGAACTGAGCCCAGCGGCCCCGCCGGCCCACCTCCACCATTGCCGGTACAGGCACTCGCAGCTCCAAGCCATCGAATCTCGGCTGCAGTAGCCCAAGGGCTTCGCGAACTCGGAATCGAGCCAGTACTCATGTTGACACATGTACCTTGGACGTGGAGGGACATGTCTTCATTCGTTGTTCGGCTGGAGCCTTTCAGCAGGGCGGAGCATGCACATCCTAACGTGCTTTACTGCGGGGAGCAGTCGGACGTGGAAGGAGGTGATGAGATACGGTCTGCCCCGACGGCCGTGACCGCAGCCTCTGACATGGATGAAAGAAACCGGAGCGACATCACAGAGGAGGGCATGCATGAACTGGACAGGGAGCGGAGCCTTGGCCGGACCAGCTTGCACAGTCCAGGAGAGGCCGACGAAGAATATGAAGAACTCTTCGGCAGCTTGGACAGCGAGGAGGAGCCTAGACGATCCACCAGAGGCACGGCTTCTACAGCGGTCTTCGGTCCCCGGGGAACAAGGACCTCGGTGACAACCACGGCTTTGGCTTCGGCTCCATCTCCTACAACAGAGACGGACACTATGCCAGGTCCGCAACCCAAGCCCAAGATGACTCGGGGCAAGAAGTGGCAGGCTTACTTGCACTGCACACAGAATGTTCAAGCTTTGCGGTTCTGTCTTAGTTTGCTGAGATCTGAGACTGTGTTGGCGGCCAAGCCTAGGCATCAAAGGGACGATAATGAGTAGCTCTGAGCGCTGGCTAGCATGGAGGTCTCTCATGTGTAAAGCTGAATGGCTTGAAGTTCTGATTGCGACAGTCTTGCACAAGTGCGTCAGCAGCTGCTTGCGGTGGAAAACCAGATCTCGCAAGTCTTTGACTTCACTGCAGCTCAAGATGTAGCACGTACATGCACTTCATGCAAACAATTGTACGCACAGCAGCTCTACGGCGGCCAGGTACTCTATGTGCACTTCCTGGAAGACCAGTGCGGGATCCTTATGTGTTCTTTTTCACTATAGCATCGTCGTCCTTGGACTCTTCCTACATTGGTGCAGGTACAAGATAACAACGTGCGAGGAAGTCTATTACCAGTACAAGCAGGTGGGAAAATTCAGTTGCAGCAAAGGGGAATGGAATTGTTCAACGAGACCGAAAGAGGTTATCCAGTCATCATACTATCAGACAGGCAAGATGCGCACCACACAGCCACTTGCAGACTGGGCTGGTCCCAAGTCCAGCCGTGCTCCCAGGAGGACATTGTTTTGCAACATTCTTGTTCTCTTGGTACTTATGAATCTTATCATGCCAGTCAGTTCTCGGAGCACAGACGCGAGGGTTGGTGTCTACCCCGCTAGGACACCTGAAGCTTCGGCAAAGCATGCGGGTCAACGGGACTTGCGGGTCTTATCCTCACAGCCAAGCATTTCCAGACATGTTAAAAGATCGTACAAAAGAGCCTTCGCAAGGTCGTGCAGGGAGGGTGGAGCGTGGTACCGAGGACAGTGGAGACCGCACAGTTGGTTCTCCCCTACAACAGTATCCACTCGAACCTTGGGCAGGATCTCCCGCCAACGCCTATGACCAGCTCGCTCAAGGTGGTCACATGGAACTCAGGCGGACTTCATTCACAGATTCTTCGTGAATTAGAAACCTGGGCACAGGACACGGCGCAGGAAATCGTCCTGATACAGGAGACTAAGTGGGACTTCGATGGGAACTGGAGTTCTCCCTCATTCCACTTCGTGCATTCTGCAGGACAGACCCGAGAGGATCGAGTGGGTGGGGTGCTTACCATGGTCTCCACCAAGGTGGCCCAACGCTCAGAGATTCAGTTCCATCCAGTATTTCCAGGACGGCTTCTTCATGTTCGATTAAACCTTCCACAGCCAATTGACATCATAAATGCCTACCAATATGCAGCTAATGACAACAAGCTGACCCCGGAGCGGAGGCATCGCTTTGTGCTGAGATTGCAAAGTACATTGAGGAGTGTGCCGGCCAGACACAACATCATCTTAGCAGGCGACTTCAACACAGATTGTGTTCCGACAGCACAGGTATGTGGCAACTGGGTGCTACCGGCCAGCGAGGCACATAACAAGGATCATGAAGACTTGATGGCAGTACTAGCAAATCACAACCTGTCCGTGCTCAACACATGGCACAGGCCGCATCATCAACAATTGGCGACCTTCACGTTCGGGAAGTTAGCCTCTCAGATTGACTTCCTCATGCGCAGACAATCTCATGCAAACAACAGAGCCAAACGGGCGGAGGTACTACAACGCCCCCAGTTTCCGGTGGCATGTTTGCGAGACGGAGCCACGCATCATCCCGTACAAGGTTTTACCCCCATCACCCACTCACAGTGGCACAAAACGGCGCAACGGCCCAAACCTAGGCTCGATGTGGGCAAGATCATCTCGGATGGGCGGACGCCGGAACCTCCGTCGACACTTGCTCATTTACGGGAAGTCATAAAGACGGGCATTGCACACCACAAGTGGCATGACATTACACAGCTTGAGGAGGGCTTCTTGAGCATGCACGCGAGCACTACGCCATGGTCTCAGAGCAGCCTGTGGAGCATGCGACCGCTCAGGTCCTTTCCAATTGTGCACGTGAAATGTGGGCACTCTTTCGGGCCATGAGGTCACATCCGTACACTGCTAGGGGTATTGTGCAGGCGTGGCGGCAATGGAAGGAGTTCAGCAAAGCACACCGCGAGCACAAAGCTCGGTCCAAGGCTAGAAGCAAACAACGTAAGCAAGACTTGCTTGCACAGGCCAGGACGGCAGCTGCAAGGGGTGACATGCACAAGGTGTGGCAGGCGGTCAAAACACTGGCGCCGAAAACTCGGCCGAAGCCACTCCAACTTTACAGGAGTGGTCACATCATGACGCCGGAGTCCGAGTTGGCCTGGATTGCCGAGGCATTCGGAGAGCGATATGGTGACAGGGAACCGCCTACTCAAGCACACATCCGGCGACATGCTCCCTTTCAGGTCTCCGCTGAGGACGTGAGGTCTGAGCTTGAACATCTACCAGTCCGAAAGGCAGTACCCCCGGAAGCTGCACCATCGGCATTGTGGAAAGCTTGTGCTGCGGAAGTAGCAGAATTCATAGCTGAACAGGTCAACGAGCAATGGGCTCAATCCGAGCTCAAAGTTCCACAATCCTGGGCCGACGCCACAGTTGCACTGATTCCTAAACCTACTGGGAAGAACGAGAGCCCCCTCGATTGGAGGCCAATCGGCCTCCAGCACCCCATCGGAAAGAGCATTATGCGGATTGTCATCGACCAGGCCAGACACCAAATATACCAGCTTGTTCACGAATGGCCGCAGTGCGCGTATGTTCCCAACAGGAGCACTTTTACAGCGCTCAAAAGAGTATATCAGCACTGTGATGAGATCCGCAGCAAGTGCGCCCAGCAACGTACCACCCTGCATCAGAAGAAGGAGGGAGTCGAGCGCACTACTAATTATGGGGGGCTACAAATAAGCATGGACTTGTCAGCTGCGTTTGACTTGGTGCCATGGACGGCGATCAAAGAGGCCATGGAGCTAGCCTGTATAGAACCCTTTGTACAGGAACTCCTGCTTCAATGGTTGGGACAGGTACGGTACAAATTTCGGCACAAGGGCATGGAGAAGGAGGTTTGGCCCTCGTGGGGACTTCGACAAGGCTGTATCGGAAGCCGATACTTTGGGCAGCTTTTACTGCCCTACTCAGTCGTGCCATAGATCACCGCATTCAGGACAGATGGTGCCGAGACCATGCGACATTATACGCGGACGACTCACACCTGAAGTGGCATTTCTCGGATATCCAGTCTTTTGAGCGAGCAGTGGTAGAACTCAGGTGGGTCATCGCCATCTTTCGGCGCATGGGCATGCAGGTCAACACACACAAGACCAAGGCCATCATGAGTGTGGTGGGACCCATGAAACACAAGATTCATAAACTATATGTGCGAACTCAAGGAAAAGAGAAACGACTTCTCCTTGCACCGGGTGATCCCAGCAACTGGATCGAGTTGGTGGACAGGACTGAATATCTTGGCCTGATAATCTCATATGATAATTATGAGTTACAATCTGTCCGACATAGGACAGCCAAAGCTCACCAACGAAGGTGGGCACTGGCCTCGATTCTTCACACGAAACACATGTCGGTTCAGTACAAACTGCAGCTGTGGAAGAGCTGTGTCCTTTCCACTATGATGTATGCGCTACATTGCATGTGCCTGACGTCAGGATGTCTTAAGATTCTGCAGAAAGCCATCATGAAACATGTAAGGGCCATAGTGTCGGATCAGGCTTTTCTCACAGGACATACACACGCGGCCATCATGCAAAAGTTCAACATCCAGAGCGCCGGGGAAATCATACACAAAGCACATCAGAGGGAAATGGATCTTGACCCACGGGAGGACTGAATGCTCAGTGCAGACTGGAACGGACGAATTACTACAGCACTGCAGCAGGCAATAGCAGACCCGGGCCCCGAATCCGATGCGGAGCAGGAGGTATGGATGTGTCCGGTTTGTTCACAACAGTTCTCGAGTACGGCAGCCTTGAAAATCCATGCACGACGAGCTCACAAACTTGTATCGACACCATGTCAGATATTTGATCGATCCAAGCATTCCTTGGGGGGATTACCACAGTGTTCACAATGTCTGCGGAAGTTTTCGAAGTGGCAGACTTTGATTAATCACATCAACAATGACTCATGTCCAGCTCAGGTTGGACGATCTTCAGAAGATGTGAGTCTTCCAGTGGAAGTGACGACTACGGTTGGTGACCCGCGCCAGCAGTCCTCCGATACAAATTTGGAAAAGACGCAGGAATCACATGCAGATAATGGCCGTATCGCAGACCTGACTCAGGATGGCTCGGATCCAGCACAGCAAGCCCCAGACCCAAGCAGGTTGAGACAGGTAGTCAATCATGCTACAACTCCAATCTTTGGGCAGACACAGGTGCAGACTATAGTTCGCACTGGGCTCAATGCTTTTATTCATCATCCTGACGTCACTCAGCAGCTGCTGCAAACATGTGCTTTATGCGGTCAATGGATAGCTTCCCAGAAAGTCATGAAAAGACACTACCAGCACACTCACAATGACTTGTATCAGAGATTGGGTCGGAGAACTCAGCAACTCATTGATCAAAAAGCAACGCCCAGTGTTCCGTGCCACTTCTGCGGACGGCAGACTAGAGACTGGAAGGCGCACTTCCGCAAGTGCACAGTGTTATGGCAGTGCTCCTTCATGTGTGCAGCACATGAGTCACAGGATGGTTCCGGAAGTTCAACCGGAGATGTTGCGGGACGAGGAAATGGACGAGTTCTTCGGATCACTCAAGCCCCCGGAAGCGGCAGGGGACAAGGAGAACCAGCACAAGAACGGAGAAGCACCATACCGCAACACACCATTCGGGCCTTTCTCAACGCCAAACAAAAGACGCCGGAACCCCTTCGAGGATCGAACCACGCCCTTCCAGGCACCTTCGTCGTACCAGTCGTATGCACCACATCACCACCGGAACCAGGAAAGGGACCCGCTTGTCTTCACGCTCGCCAAGACAGTGTTGAAACAGCAAGAAGAACTTCGGGTGCTACGACAGGACACAGCATTTATCATGTTCATGAGGCCGGGGCCGGACTCGATTCTGCATCATCTTTACACCACGGCGGTGGCGTTCAAAGCAAAGCAGGAAGCGGACCCCTCATGGCAACTTGGTCAACAACCATTGAGAATGGTGTTGGCCCAGGCTCTCTTTCGGGAGGTGGTCAATCGACTGAATCATACCATTGCCACGCAGGAACGTCTGCGTCGGGTCATGGATCACGGATGGAGGGATGCATCGGGATGGAGATTTCAGGTATGGAATCCTCGCACGAGGCAGCTGGAAGTAGATCAATCGAGGCCCCCCATTCCGGAGGATCAGCTTCTGGATCACCTGGCCACCATCATACAGTGTCTCAAGCACCCCATTCTTACCAGGTTCCATTGCACGCGGAAGATGACGGAGACGATGACTGGTCAAGCCACATACAAGATGGACCTTTCAGTGCGCAGTCACAGCGCCCTTACAATGTGGGACGAGATGCGTCTCTTGCAGGGCAATGCAGTGTTTCAGCTGGTGGGGTTGGGATACAAAACAGAGGGATTGGGTCGGGGGCCGATGGAACAGAAAATCATGGACATGCTTTATGGCCGTCGATGAATTCTGCGCTGACTCATGCTACGGCATCACAGCATGCGACTCAGATCATTCTACAAAATCGAAGCTCCGTATGCTACATGAACTCGACTTTTCAGGTCATGGTTTGGTTGTTGGAGCTCCTTCCGGCTTACATGACGGGCATGTACGGGCCGGGTGCTTTCCTTCTCTTGCAGGCGGCAACAGGACAACTATGCGAGCCTTTTCAGCTTGTACAGGACGGGCAATGGAAGCTCATGATCAATGACTACACTCCCAGCACGATGTGAGCGAGTTCATTTTGCACTTAACCACCAAAATCTACATGCCCATGTTGGCAGGCACATGGCAGGCGAGATCGCCAGCTATGGCACCAGGGGATCGTCATTTGGACGAGGGGACATGCACTCAGCCAGTCATTTTACATATGCCACAATCCTGTCGGTCTGGTGCCTGTGCAAGGATTCAAACATTGGTGGATGCATGGCATCGATGTGTTGATCGCTTTCAGGGGTTAACTGTCGCTCCCCCAGTGCTCATGCTACAGCTACTTCGCTTCCATCGACGTCGGGGGAGAATATGCAAGAATAGTATGAAGGTGCAGATGGACCCGGTGATTCGTGTGCCGGTCTTCAGCGGCGCAAGACATGCAGTCAAGGTCAACATGCAAGAATATCAGCTTAGAGCTTTCATTGAACATCATGGGGCGCTCCCTACTTCGGGTCATTACACTGCCGCCTTGCTGCAGGATGGTTGCTGGCTCTGCAATGATGATCGTCGTGCCAGATGGCAATCGGAGATTCAGCCGAGTCAGTGTAAAACTTGCTACATACTTTTCTATGTCAACAGGGCTTTAACCGGTCCTATCATCAACATGAGTAGTAATGAAGGCTGAAGATCGAGAGCGATCTCTTTTTGTGTGTGGCGGTACGCATGCTTTACAAGGCTCTACGGAGCGGTGTGTGTTGTTGCTGGCTTTTACAGGGGCAGTCAAAACGACTGTGAGCGTTGAACGCTCCGGATGTCAACGACGTCTGCTCAATCCCGACGCCTGGCGAAGGACTCTCCTAGCTGCGAGGAAAGCTGAAAGCTACTACTACTACTACTACTACTACTACTACTACGACTACGACTACTACTACTACTACTACTACTACTACTACTAGTCCTAGACCTAGACCTAGACCTAGTCCTAGTCCTAGTACTAGTACTCGTACTCGTACGCGTACTCGTACTCTTACTCGTACTAGTAGTAACAATGGTAGTAAGGGTAATAGTAGTAGTAGTAGTAGTAGTAGTTGTTGTTGTTGTTGTAGTAATGGAAGTAATACTAGTACTACTACTTCTACTACTCCTACTCCTACTACTACTACTACTACTACTACTACCACTACTACTGCTACTACTACTACTACTACTACTACTACGACGACGACTACTATTAGTAATAGTAGCAGTAGTAGTAATAGTAGTAGCAGCAGTAGTAGTAGTAGCAGCAGCAGCAGTACCAGTAGCAGTAGCAGTAGTAGCAGTAACGGTAGCAGCAGCAGTAGCAGTCGCAGTCGCAGTCGCAGTCGCAGTCGCAGT